CAGAATACACAAAAGGGATCTGAAGGAGGTAGCGGTCATGATGACTGCACGGCCGGTGTCCTAGAACATTAATGAAAATACCTACTTTAAGTACCTGAACACAGAGCAAGCGAGGGGACATCACGACGCACGGAACAACATCCATCAACACTGCACAATACACATGCCCGAAAACCTGAGTACAGAAGGGATGTGGACTGCATGCAGGAATATGCCGGGGCACCAACAATGTCTGCGTGCACAACTCTGTAAGCTCCCGAGGTGAGCATGCCACCCCAGAGAATGTTGTGAATGTACATGTAACTATGTACAGTGGAAAAGGAGAGGTTACGGTGCAATGGAATTTCAAAATAATATACTGTAAAGTACTAGGGAGCGGTAACAAATCACGGGAGTGGCAGCACTTAGACGACTTCCACCTTTCATGAACAGAGATTTTCAACTGCGACCTATCACACAGCACTGCTTCCAGAGTATTTCTACAAATTCTTATTAGAATCTCAACGTGTATGCCGCTGGCTGAGAAATTAATCGTGGAAGTTTAAACAAACAATTTCCTTGGCTGACGAGTTCACAATACCTCAGATTGGAAGAAACACATTGAGTATATTATTCCCAAATTAAGCTCTGCGTGCCTTGCCATCAGAACAGTCATACCACCCATGACAACAGATACTATAAAGCTAGTTTACTTTGCTTTGCTTATTTCCACTCTGTGGTGTCTTATGGATTAATACTTTGGGGGAATTCAACAGACAGTAATAAGGTTTTTCACATGCAAAAGAAAATAATTAGAATAATGGAAGGTGTCAAAAGCAGGGTTTCTTGTATACTTCCACTTGCCCAAGTGAATTTATACTCTGCTTGCTATAATTTGTGGCGGAAAAATTGGATAATCTTAAAAGAAATACAGATGCACATAATTTAAATACAAGACGTAAACATGACCTCTATGTGCCAAATGCTTAACCCTACTAAACGTCAAAAAAAGGAGAGTACTATACATGTATCAAGTTATTTAGTGATCTTCCACCAACAATTAAAACTCTACAATTATGCTATAAAGGTATTCATTCAAGCCTGCATTGAAAGGTTACCTCTTCACTCACTCTTTCTATTCTGCAGATTATTTCACCTCTGCTGAAAATCCTTAAGCTTTATGTATATCTATAATCTATATGTAAAGTCACTTTTGTATTTCTATTTAAAATTCTCAGGTTATGTACATTGATATGTGAAACACGTACTTGTTATTGTGTCGAAAGTACAGAAGTTTACGTATATTGAATGAAGTCCTGAGGTTTATGTATATTGTATGAAATGATAGGTTCTCCTTTTTTGGATTAGTCCAAAGAAGGATCTATGGAACGTAAATAAACTCCACTCTACTCTCTAACATACCCGAATACTGCACTTCCTTATCCAAGTCACAAACGCTCCAGGTGCTTCATTCTTTCTGGTTCTTCACACCTCCAACTCCAAACAAGCTGGTTCCCTATCGCCAACACAACTGATCTTCTGAAACACTGATATTCAGACAAATTGGTCTGCCATGTCTTCGCGTGACACCGTGATACCGGCCCACAAACTACACATACAGTTCACAAGAAAGTTGCCACTCAGCACATCCCCTGATCTCAAACTACTCTTTGAGACAGACAAGGCACTCCCACTAAATCTATGACCGTACGCCTCCTCGGAAAGCAAGGAAATCGCACGAGGGCCCGAGGTCTTCCTTGTAGATTTGTGAGGCATGCTACGAACACCCGATACTTTGTCACAACGAATCTAAGGTGTGCACCTGTGTTGTGGTGGCCACATAACCAACATTGCAACCTGTAACTCTAGCTACTTACTTCTATCTTGTCCGCTGCGATAAGCTCTTACACAAATTTAAATAAAAACCTACTGCATTTCCTCAAGCAAGTCACAAAAACTGAGGCTGCCACTACGTGTCTGTGGGTCATCCCAACCGCATCGCCTGATGAATTGTGTCCATCATGTCAGCTCCCGGTGCAAAGTCTTGCTACCTCTGTAGTAATGATGGACTCGAAACTGCGTAACGGCTAAAGTATCCTATATGCTTGCAGGCACGCCTACCTGAAACAAAACCAAGGTACCAAAATAAACATCCGCATTTGACACCATTCGTAACTGCTACTACGAACGCACTCTACACCTCATCAATAATCAACTGGCTAACCGACCTTCCATGCAACCAAAATATTTCCCACTTTACGTCATTCACACAGGAGAAAGATGACGCACATAAATTCAAAACACGCTCAAATAACATCAAATTAACTTGCACGCCCTGGCAATATATGAAGAGTAAATAGAGTAGAGTTTATTTACATTCCATAGATCCTTCTTAGGCCTCAACCAAAGGATGTGCAACATGTCAATTCATACAATATACATACACTTCAGAACTTTCAACACAAGTACAAGAACGTATTTCACATATCAATGTACATAAATTTCAGATTCTGCAATACAAGTATGGAAAATAATTTTACAAAGTAATATATATAAACCTCAAAATTTTAAATATAAATACAAAACTTGCTTTACATACTCGTACATTATGGATATAAGGATTAAACATTTTCAGCAGAGATGAAATCATCTACAGAATAGAAGGAGTGAGTAAAGAGGTAATCTTTCAATGCAGGCTTCAATACCTTTATATCATAACTTAGACTTTTAACTGTTGGTGGAAGATTATTAAACAACTTGATACCTGTATAGTACACTCCTTTCTGATATTTAGCAAAGTTTGCATTTGGCACATATAGGTCATGTTTACGTCTCGTATTTAAATTATGTACATCTGTATTTCTGCACTGGATACCGACCGCAGAAGTCGACAGCGGCAGAACGTCCACGCCATTTTGTCATACGCAGGGACTGCAACGTCTGAAAAACAGCGACCACATCCCGCCGCCGCCGGAGAACGAGGGATATTCAACGATCGTTACATACGCACCGTGACGACGTCTGCTGTCATCTAGCGACAACAGAGCTGAACTACATGCCCGTCCGCGCACACCCCACTGCACTGCCGATCGAAATGCTGCCTGAAATACCACTCCACAGATTGTAAACTCATAAGCAGCAATAGGCTAGCTGAACAGTACTTCCGTGACATCCGAGCTCTTAAAAATTACAGGAGCTAAAAAACAAATGCAGCCGAAAACACGCCTACCAACTTCACCTACAAGAAACCAACTACCAAACATATCCATAACCTAAAAACCTTCCAATAATTTATGAAACCAACCACACGGAACAACACCTAGGATCGTAAACTACAGCTCAATCAACTTTTCACGAAGCACTATGAAACAAATAACACACATTTCGCCACTAGATCGCCTACATTATGGCGCACATTGCCTCTCGGTCACCCGATTTGTTACTGAAAACACCAACGTTTAACACCCTGCTTAGATCAAAATCAGACACAAATCTTTAATACCTACACGACTATCTATAACACAACAGACCGAGTGAAAGCGTCCACTGGTAACCGTACTTTCGGATACGACACTTCTCCTCGTCATACGTCATGTTGGCATGCAGGCACTCAACACGTCACGCGGATTCAGCAGCGACATCTTCCCTGTTTATACAATTCTTGGAACTAAATTTGCAGAAACTGCGACAATTAATCAGGCCAACCAACATCACCTATAGAAAACCAACTACCAAACATCTCCATAACCTAAAAATCTTCGATTTATGAAAACACTACCAGAAAGCAGGTAGGATTTCGTAAAATACAGCCCAATGAACTTAGCGCGATGCACTCTTAAACGATTATTCCATATGTCCCCACCGGATTGTACTGCACGACTCTCTAGCACACCGACTAACTAAGCCCACTGGTTACCGTACTTACGAACGCGAACTTCCCTTCGTCAGACTTCATTTTGGCAGTCAACGACACAAAAGTACACAACCAACAAAATTAATCCCGGCAATATTCGCCGAAAACCACTTGTAGCAAGACACACACAATCCATAACTCTCATTGCACTTACCTGTCTTATATAGAGCAATCACTTCACTGGCAAGTCAACAAGTTTCAATCATGGGACAACTCCTAATGTGCATCCCCCGATAAGTACTGTTTGGAAACTCCCTCTCGGTGATGATCACTAAATATTCCCATTACCTCCTGCTTTGAAATCTTTTTTTTTTTACCGATTTCCATAGAGAAAAAGCAAACTAAGTAATGCGCCGTCAGCACATTTTTAAAGTCTTCTTGGGTCAGAGAACGGACATCCATGATTATCAAAACTGTCCGGTATAGCTATGCCAGAGTTCTTCATCACTGAACAGGTTCTCGGTGGGCGCTAGCAACTGCATGCCTACAAGTTACCATCAACATCTGAGTAAGCACCTCAAGTCAACCCACCACGCTTGCTAAACGAGTGAAACTGCAGAGCACACACTATCCGCTGTGGAACAGATGCAGAATGACCGAGGTTTGGAAGTTCTTGCTGTGGCATTAGCTTCAACCGAGAATGTGAAATGGAATGAAGCTGATTAAAGGGAAAACCACATTCTTTCCAGGAAGAGGAATCACATCTCTGGTGACAAGCTGCGGCCAAAGCCAAGAGTACCTGCAACTTAAAGCCTTACACACACATGACAAACTCTCTCATTCCAACATGTGTTAGCCACCACACTATGAAGCAGTGCCTTATTAACGCAATGTGAATGCGGCCGACATTTTTATTATTTTTCTCACCCTCTATAGAACACCCTACACACATAACTAGACATCCACACCTTACACGGACACACACACGCATTTCACATGATTGACATACTAAGTTGGTATCACACCTGAAACACAATTATCACAACAGAGCAAGCCCCTGCGAATGGGTTAAATAACAGCCTACTGCACCACGTCTCCAGAGGCACACAAAATTTACATGCTGCATTCAGTCCTCTTCTCCATGTACGCACTGAGCAACAGGACGGCCAACCATCGGGGACACAAGTGGTCTTCTTTCGGATGTCAGTCTGTCTAGTGTTGGTGTACTCCTGCTGCAATATACCAGGAAAGGTGTAAGATACACATGAAATCTTGAATCTCAGAGGCCACTTTCATAGACATTGGAGGCAAAGTCGTCTGAAATGGAACAAACTCATGCCAACTTATTTTTCTAATGGGTGACTGCTGCTTATTCAAATATTTAATCTGAAATTGAGGGGGGGGGGGCAATCCTGTTCATAGACATACCAGGGATTAACCGCATAGGACCAAACATCCAACTTGCAATCAGCCTCTGTCAGAGCATTACCGTTGCTTGACAGAAAAAGTATTTCTCTTCCAACTTGGTACATATTCTGAATATTTATCCACTTAATATTCTTTGTGATATGAAGTCAGAAGACAGTTTCCTTAATGCGCTGGTTTCGCACATTAATTACGAGGAATCTTTCTCCAAAGGCTACAAATGTTACTCCTTATTCTTTGTTTACTACGCCAACAAGGTTGGTAACTTGTAAAGTGATTTATTGACAATGGAGTTTCATATCTGTACTCACTTTTATTGCGGGATTTGAGCACTTTGTTCTGGTTAAAAACCTATATCCCACTACCCTGTATTATTTAGATTACATACTTCTTCTACTGGTGCCTCTTATGAACAGACAGACAGACACACTCACTCACATCCAGTTATGTAGCTCTAAATATAAGCTGCATTTTGTGAGCCAATTAATATAGCTGTCTCTTTGAGAAATGTTGGTCCAACGCCCTAACTTGTGTCAGGCACACAACACAGAGGTTTTACACACCTGTATGAGGCCACCTAACCGCGGCCAATATCGTTCTGGTACTTCACCCCAGCCTTGTCAAACAGAATACACAAAAGGGATCTGAAGGAGGTAGCGGTCATGATGACTGCACGGCCGGTGTCCTAGAACATTAATGAAAATACCTACTTTAAGTACCTGAACACAGAGCAAGCGAGGGGACATCACGACGCACGGAACAACATCCATCAACACTGCACAATACACATGCCCGAAAACCTGAGTACAGAAGGGATGTGGACTGCATGCAGGAATATGCCGGGGCACCAACAATGTCTGCGTGCACAACTCTGTAAGCTCCCGAGGTGAGCATGCCACCCCAGAGAATGTTGTGAATGTACATGTAACTATGTACAGTGGAAAAGGAGAGGTTACGGTGCAATGGAATTTCAAAATAATATACTGTAAAGTACTAGGGAGCGGTAACAAATCACGGGAGTGGCAGCACTTAGACGACTTCCACCTTTCATGAACAGAGATTTTCAACTGCGACCTATCACACAGCACTGCTTCCAGAGTATTTCTACAAATTCTTATTAGAATCTCAACGTGTATGCCGCTGGCTGAGAAATTAATCGTGGAAGTTTAAACAAACAATTTCCTTGGCTGACGAGTTCACAATACCTCAGATTGGAAGAAACACATTGAGTATATTATTCCCAAATTAAGCTCTGCGTGCCTTGCCATCAGAACAGTCATACCACCCATGACAACAGATACTATAAAGCTAGTTTACTTTGCTTTGCTTATTTCCACTCTGTGGTGTCTTATGGATTAATACTTTGGGGGAATTCAACAGACAGTAATAAGGTTTTTCACATGCAAAAGAAAATAATTAGAATAATGGAAGGTGTCAAAAGCAGGGTTTCTTGTATACTTCCACTTGCCCAAGTGAATTTATACTCTGCTTGCTATAATTTGTGGCGGAAAAATTGGATAATCTTAAAAGAAATACAGATGCACATAATTTAAATACAAGACGTAAACATGACCTCTATGTGCCAAATGCTTAACCCTACTAAACGTCAAAAAAAGGAGAGTACTATACATGTATCAAGTTATTTAGTGATCTTCCACCAACAATTAAAACTCTACAATTATGCTATAAAGGTATTCATTCAAGCCTGCATTGAAAGGTTACCTCTTCACTCACTCTTTCTATTCTGCAGATTATTTCACCTCTGCTGAAAATCCTTAAGCTTTATGTATATCTATAATCTATACGTAAAGTCACTTTTGTATTTCTATTTAAAATTCTCAGGTTATGTACATTGATATGTGAAACACGTACTTGTTATTGTGTCGAAAGTACAGAAGTTTACGTATATTGAATGAAGTCCTGAGGTTTATGTATATTGTATGAAATGATAGGTTCTCCTTTTTTGGATTAGTCCAAAGAAGGATCTATGGAACGTAAATAAACTCCACTCTACTCTCTAACATACCCGAATACTGCACTTCCTTATCCAAGTCACAAACGCTCCAGGTGCTTCGTTCTGTCTGGTTCTTCACATCTCCAACTCCAAACAAGCTGGTTCCCTATCGCCAACACAACTGATCTTCTGAAACACTGATATTCAGACAAATTGGTCTGCCATGTCTTCGCGTGACACCGTGATACCGGCCCACAAACTACACATACAGTTCATAAGAAAGTTGCCACTCAGCACATCCCCTGATCTCAAACTACTCTTTGAGACAGACAAGGCACTCCCACTAAATCTATGACCGTACGCCTCCTCGGAAAGCAAGGAAATCGCACGAGGGCCCGAGGTCTTCCTTGTAGATTTGTGAGGCATGCTACGAACACCCGATACTTTGTCACAACGAATCTAAGGTGTGCACCTGTGTTGTGGTGGCCACATAACCAACATTGCAACCTGTAACTCTAGCTACTTACTTCTATCTTGTCCGCTGCGATAAGCTCTTACACAAATTTAAATAAAAACCTACTGCATTTCCTGATCGAAATGCTGCCTGAAATACCACTCCACAGATTGTAAACTCATAAGCAGCAATAGGCTAGCTGAACAGTACTTCCGTGACATCCGAGCTCTTAAAAATTACAGGAGCTAAAAAACAAATGCAGCCGAAAACACGCCTACCAACTTCACCTACAAGAAACCAACTACCAAACATATCCATAACCTAAAAACCTTCCAATAATTTATGAAACCAACCACACGGAACAACACCTAGGATCGTAAACTACAGCTCAATCAACTTTTCACGAAGCACTATGAAACAAATAACACACATTTCGCCACTAGATCGCCTACATTATGGCGCACATTGCCTCTCGGTCACCCGATTTGTTACTGAAAACACCAACGTTTAACACCCTGCTTAGATCAAAATCAGACACAAATCTTTAATACCTACACGACTATCTATAACACAACAGACCGAGTGAAAGCGTCCACTGGTAACCGTACTTTCGGATACGACACTTCTCCTCGTCATACGTCATGTTGGCATGCAGGCACTCAACACGTCACGCGGATTCAGCAGCGACATCTTCCCTGTTTATACAATTCTTGGAACTAAATTTGCAGAAACTGCGACAATTAATCAGGCCAACCAACATCACCTATAGAAAACCAACTACCAAACATCTCCATAACCTAAAAATCTTCGATTTATGAAAACACTACCAGAAAGCAGGTAGGATTTCGTAAAATACAGCCCAATGAACTTAGCGCGATGCACTCTTAAACGATTATTCCATATGTCCCCACCGGATTGTACTGCACGACTCTCTAGCACACCGACTAACTAAGCCCACTGGTTACCGTACTTACGAACGCGAACTTCCCTTCGTCAGACTTCATTTTGGCAGTCAACGACACAAAAGTACACAACCAACAAAATTAATCCCGGCAATATTCGCCGAAAACCACTTGTAGCAAGACACACACAATCCATAACTCTCATTGCACTTACCTGTCTTATATAGAGCAATCACTTCACTGGCAAGTCAACAAGTTTCAATCATGGGACAACTCCTAATGTGCATCCCCCGATAAGTACTGTTTGGAAACTCCCTCTCGGTGATGATCACTAAATATTCCCATTACCTCCTGCTTTGAAATCTTTTTTTTTTTACCGATTTCCATAGAGAAAAAGCAAACTAAGTAATGCGCCGTCAGCACATTTTTAAAGTCTTCTTGGGTCAGAGAACGGACATCCATGATTATCAAAACTGTCCGGTATAGCTATGCCAGAGTTCTTCATCACTGAACAGGTTCTCGGTGGGCGCTAGCAACTGCATGCCTACAAGTTACCATCAACATCTGAGTAAGCACCTCAAGTCAACCCACCACGCTTGCTAAACGAGTGAAACTGCAGAGCACACACTATCCGCTGTGGAACAGATGCAGAATGACCGAGGTTTGGAAGTTCTTGCTGTGGCATTAGCTTCAACCGAGAATGTGAAATGGAATGAAGCTGATTAAAGGGAAAACCACATTCTTTCCAGGAAGAGGAATCACATCTCTGGTGACAAGCTGCGGCCAAAGCCAAGAGTACCTGCAACTTAAAGCCTTACACACACATGACAAACTCTCTCATTCCAACATGTGTTAGCCACCACACTATGAAGCAGTGCCTTATTAACGCAATGTGAATGCGGCCGACATTTTTATTATTTTTCTCACCCTCTATAGAACACCCTACACACATAACTAGACATCCACACCTTACACGGACACACACACGCATTTCACATGATTGACATACTAAGTTGGTATCACACCTGAAACACAATTATCACAACAGAGCAAGCCCCTGCGAATGGGTTAAATAACAGCCTACTGCACCACGTCTCCAGAGGCACACAAAATTTACATGCTGCATTCAGTCCTCTTCTCCATGTACGCACTGAGCAACAGGACGGCCAACCATCGGGGACACAAGTGGTCTTCTTTCGGATGTCAGTCTGTCTAGTGTTGGTGTACTCCTGCTGCAATATACCAGGAAAGGTGTAAGATACACATGAAATCTTGAATCTCAGAGGCCACTTTCATAGACATTGGAGGCAAAGTCGTCTGAAATGGAACAAACTCATGCCAACTTATTTTTCTAATGGGTGACTGCTGCTTATTCAAATATTTAATCTGAAATTGAGGGGGGGGGGGCAATCCTGTTCATAGACATACCAGGGATTAACCGCATAGGACCAAACATCCAACTTGCAATCAGCCTCTGTCAGAGCATTACCGTTGCTTGACAGAAAAAGTATTTCTCTTCCAACTTGGTACATATTCTGAATATTTATCCACTTAATATTCTTTGTGATATGAAGTCAGAAGACAGTTTCCTTAATGCGCTGGTTTCGCACATTAATTACGAGGAATCTTTCTCCAAAGGCTACAAATGTTACTCCTTATTCTTTGTTTACTACGCCAACAAGGTTGGTAACTTGTAAAGTGATTTATTGACAATGGAGTTTCATATCTGTACTCACTTTTATTGCGGGATTTGAGCACTTTGTTCTGGTTAAAAACCTATATCCCACTACCCTGTATTATTTAGATTACATACTTCTTCTACTGGTGCCTCTTATGAACAGACAGACAGACACACTCACTCACATCCAGTTATGTAGCTCTAAATATAAGCTGCATTTTGTGAGCCAATTAATATAGCTGTCTCTTTGAGAAATGTTGGTCCAACGCCCTAACTTGTGTCAGGCACACAACACAGAGGTTTTACACACCTGTATGAGGCCACCTAACCGCGGCCAATATCGTTCTGGTACTTCACCCCAGCCTTGTCAAACAGAATACACAAAAGGGATCTGAAGGAGGTAGCGGTCATGATGACTGCACGGCCGGTGTCCTAGAACATTAATGAAAATACCTACTTTAAGTACCTGAACACAGAGCAAGCGAGGGGACATCACGACGCACGGAACAACATCCATCAACACTGCACAATACACATGCCCGAAAACCTGAGTACAGAAGGGATGTGGACTGCATGCAGGAATATGCCGGGGCACCAACAATGTCTGCGTGCACAACTCTGTAAGCTCCCGAGGTGAGCATGCCACCCCAGAGAATGTTGTGAATGTACATGTAACTATGTACAGTGGAAAAGGAGAGGTTACGGTGCAATGGAATTTCAAAATAATATACTGTAAAGTACTAGGGAGCGGTAACAAATCACGGGAGTGGCAGCACTTAGACGACTTCCACCTTTCATGAACAGAGATTTTCAACTGCGACCTATCACACAGCACTGCTTCCAGAGTATTTCTACAAATTCTTATTAGAATCTCAACGTGTATGCCGCTGGCTGAGAAATTAATCGTGGAAGTTTAAACAAACAATTTCCTTGGCTGACGAGTTCACAATACCTCAGATTGGAAGAAACACATTGAGTATATTATTCCCAAATTAAGCTCTGCGTGCCTTGCCATCAGAACAGTCATACCACCCATGACAACAGATACTATAAAGCTAGTTTACTTTGCTTTGCTTATTTCCACTCTGTGGTGTCTTATGGATTAATACTTTGGGGGAATTCAACAGACAGTAATAAGGTTTTTCACATGCAAAAGAAAATAATTAGAATAATGGAAGGTGTCAAAAGCAGGGTTTCTTGTATACTTCCACTTGCCCAAGTGAATTTATACTCTGCTTGCTATAATTTGTGGCGGAAAAATTGGATAATCTTAAAAGAAATACAGATGCACATAATTTAAATACAAGACGTAAACATGACCTCTATGTGCCAAATGCTTAACCCTACTAAACGTCAAAAAAAGGAGAGTACTATACATGTATCAAGTTATTTAGTGATCTTCCACCAACAATTAAAACTCTACAATTATGCTATAAAGGTATTCATTCAAGCCTGCATTGAAAGGTTACCTCTTCACTCACTCTTTCTATTCTGCAGATTATTTCACCTCTGCTGAAAATCCTTAAGCTTTATGTATATCTATAATCTATATGTAAAGTCACTTTTGTATTTCTATTTAAAATTCTCAGGTTATGTACATTGATATGTGAAACACGTACTTGTTATTGTGTCGAAAGTACAGAAGTTTACGTATATTGAATGAAGTCCTGAGGTTTATGTATATTGTATGAAATGATAGGTTCTCCTTTTTTGGATTAGTCCAAAGAAGGATCTATGGAACGTAAATAAACTCCACTCTACTCTCTAACATACCCGAATACTGCACTTCCTTATCCAAGTCACAAACGCTCCAGGTGCTTCATTCTTTCTGGTTCTTCACACCTCCAACTCCAAACAAGCTGGTTCCCTATCGCCAACACAACTGATCTTCTGAAACACTGATATTCAGACAAATTGGTCTGCCATGTCTTCGCGTGACACCGTGATACCGGCCCACAAACTACACATACAGTTCACAAGAAAGTTGCCACTCAGCACATCCCCTGATCTCAAACTACTCTTTGAGACAGACAAGGCACTCCCACTAAATCTATGACCGTACGCCTCCTCGGAAAGCAAGGAAATCGCACGAGGGCCCGAGGTCTTCCTTGTAGATTTGTGAGGCATGCTACGAACACCCGATACTTTGTCACAACGAATCTAAGGTGTGCACCTGTGTTGTGGTGGCCACATAACCAACATTGCAACCTGTAACTCTAGCTACTTACTTCTATCTTGTCCGCTGCGATAAGCTCTTACACAAATTTAAATAAAAACCTACTGCATTTCCTCAAGCAAGTCACAAAAACTGAGGCTGCCACTACGTGTCTGTGGGTCATCCCAACCGCATCGCCTGATGAATTGTGTCCATCATGTCAGCTCCCGGTGCAAAGTCTTGCTACCTCTGTAGTAATGATGGACTCGAAACTGCGTAACGGCTAAAGTATCCTATATGCTTGCAGGCACGCCTACCTGAAACAAAACCAAGGTACCAAAATAAACATCCGCATTTGACACCATTCGTAACTGCTACTACGAACGCACTCTACACCTCATCAATAATCAACTGGCTAACCGACCTTCCATGCAACCAAAATATTTCCCACTTTACGTCATTCACACAGGAGAAAGATGACGCACATAAATTCAAAACACGCTCAAATAACATCAAATTAACTTGCACGCCCTGGCAATATATGAAGAGTAAATAGAGTAGAGTTTATTTACATTCCATAGATCCTTCTTAGGCCTCAACCAAAGGATGTGCAACATGTCAATTCATACAATATACATACACTTCAGAACTTTCAACACAAGTACAAGAACGTATTTCACATATCAATGTACATAAATTTCAGATTCTGCAATACAAGTATGGAAAATAATTTTACAAAGTAATATATATAAACCTCAAAATTTTAAATATAAATACAAAACTTGCTTTACATACTCGTACATTATGGATATAAGGATTAAACATTTTCAGCAGAGATGAAATCATCTACAGAATAGAAGGAGTGAGTAAAGAGGTAATCTTTCAATGCAGGCTTCAATACCTTTATATCATAACTTAGACTTTTAACTGTTGGTGGAAGATTATTAAACAACTTGATACCTGTATAGTACACTCCTTTCTGATATTTAGCAAAGTTTGCATTTGGCACATATAGGTCATGTTTACGTCTCGTATTTAAATTATGTACATCTGTATTTCTGCACTGGATACCGACCGCAGAAGTCGACAGCGGCAGAACGTCCACGCCATTTTGTCATACGCAGGGACGGCAACGTCTGAAAAACAGCGACCACATCCCGCCGCCGCCGGAGAACGAGGGATATTCAACGATCGCTACATGCGCACCGTGACTACGTCTGCTGTCATCTACCGACAACAGAGCTGAACTACATGCCCGTCCGCGCACACTCCACTGCACCGCCGAACGAAATGCTGCCTGAAATACCACTCCACAGATTGTAAACTCATAAGCAGCAATAGGCTAGCTGAACAGTACTTCCGTGACATCCGAGCTCTTAAAAATTACAGGAGCTAAAAAACAAATGCAGCCGAAAACACGCCTACCAACTTCACCTACAAGAAACCAACTACCAAACATATCCATAACCCAAAACCTTCCAATAATTTATGAAACCAACCACACGGAACAACACCTAGGATCGTAAACTACAGCTCAATCAACTTTTCACGAAGCACTATGAAACAAATAACACACATTTCGCCACTAGATCGCCTACATTATGGCGCACATTGCCTCTCGGTCACCCGATTTGTTACTGAAAACACCAACGTTTAACACCCTGCTTAGATCAAAATCAGACACAAATCTTTAATACCTACACGACTATCTATAACACAACAGACCGAGTGAAAGCGTCCACTGGTAACCGTACTTTCGGATACGACACTTCTCCTCGTCATACGTCATGTTGGCATGCAGGCACTCAACACGTCACGCGGATTCAGCAGCGACATCTTCCCTGTTTATACAATTCTTGGAACTAAATTTGCAGAAACTGCGACAATTAATCAGGCCAACCAACATCACCTATAGAAAACCAACTACCAAACATCCCCATAACCTAAAAATCTTCGATCATTTATGAAAACACCACCAGAAAGCAGGTAGGATTTCGTAAAATACAGCCCAATGAACTTAGCGCGATGCACTCTTAAACGATTATTCCATACGTCCCCACCGGATTGTACTGCACGACTCTCTAACACACCGACTAACTAAGCCCACTGGTAACCGTACTTACGAACGCGAACTTCCCTTCGTCAGACTTCATTTTGGCAGTCAACGACACAAAAGTACACAACCAACAAAATTAATCCCGGCAATATTCGCCGAAAACCACTTGTAGCAAGACACACACAATCCATAACTCTCATTGCACTTACCTGTCTTATATAGAGCAATCACTTCACTGGCAAGTCAACAAGTTTCAATCATGGGACAACTCCTAATGTGCATCCCCCGATAAGTACTGTTTGGAAACTCCCTCTCGGT